GTTGAAATGTAAAAGAGGAAAAAAGCCATCTACCAGCAAGGCTTTCATCACATCTGATAAGTTCCCTAGAGTTATCAGGAAACATAGAGTTTAATAGGGATACACAGCTGACATTGGGATATAACTTTAAACTCTTGTGCTGATAACTCTATTATTTAAAAGTAATCAGCACAAACTTTATTATTTAAAAGTTATCAGCACAAACTCTTGTGCTGATAACTCTAAGCACATAGAGTTATCATATGTTGTAGCAGCATTATTAAGTAGTGCAATTCTTCAAAATTGATTTCAAACAGTATCTTTCTCAAATAAAAAAGTAATTAAGTTTACTTATGGTTTTGCCTATAAAATGACAGCTTAAAAACCTTTAAACTTCAAATGGGTAAAATGATACAAGCAATAACTGTCTTGCCTACATGGGCATGTAGGTGCACACATGTGAATGGGTGTGCTTCATAAAAACCCATAGTATTAAAAAATAAAACACTATCCAATCTGCCAAAGTTAATGTAAAAAAAATAAATAAAACACTACATAATGGAATTTTTAGTTTTGGTACTTCTAATCACATTCTTCCATCAGTAATAAGAATTATGACTAGGTAATTGTTAAATTAAGATTCTATGTAAGAAAGGTCAAGGAGCTACATACTAGAAAACAGTCAAAGGCAATATTCTGTATGTTTAATGCTATAACCAACACAGTACACGCAAAATGGGATAAAGATTCTGAATTTCATATTTTGTAATTAATTTACATAAATGTGGCACATACCTAAATTTAAATCTTAAAAGATTATTTTATTCATTCTTCATTTTCTATTCATTAATCAGAAACTAGGCACTTTAGTCTAAAATTATACTTGTAAAAAATGTATTTTAGGTACCTTATCACTCCTAAAATGAATAAAGTCCAATTTAGGAGCAAAATGAACAAATCTAACCACCCATATACTGAATTAGCCACTCCAAATAAGTGGTATATGGATTTAGAAACAAAATTGATACAACTCTCAAAGTATGTCATACTCTATAGAAGAACCTCCCTCACAACTGCAACCCATCTGTTCATTCAGTTACCATAACAGATGTGAAATGTACTTCCACATCATTAAAATATTTTTGTTCAGGGGAGTAAAAACCCTTCTGCAAAACCTCACTCAGATTCAAAGTATAAATATTTTTAAAATATGAGCATAATATGACAAATTCCCAGTGTGCTGAGTTCTCTGTGGGAATAACTAAAAGCCAGCTTTGTAGAAGGAAACTGAAGGAGAAATTATTTTACTATCCCAAGTTTAATATTTTCAGATGTTGGGAGACAGTCTCAAAATTACACATAAAAAAGGCGAATTCTTAAATGCTTTTCTTAATTGCTACATGTTATCTTTTAAATCGGTATTCATCAAAGTGATCCCTTCAACAGCACACATACGAAACTCGGAACCATACAGAGATTAGCATGGCCCCTGTGCGAGGATGACACACAAATTCACAAAGTGTTCCATATTTTTAAAAAAATATCTATTCAAGGGGAAGATGCTCTAATCCATAAAAAGATAAAAGTCTCTCTATTGTAACTTACAGGACCAACAGTAATATATTTTGGAAACTATAGTTATTATAATAAAGTTATAAACTATAAACTTCTCAATGTCAATTCGTTTCAATGTTTTATAACAATATAGAGTGATTACAACGTCTTTTGACTCAGACACAGAAGCAAATGCACAAGCAACAATGTAAGCAGTACATATTACACACCATTACTGCCTAAACTTGATTAAACAAGTGAATAACTTTATAATTAAAAATATATTTTCAGGCAAAGTTAAATACGTTGACACTAGAGTAATAGATTCTTGCATGTGTGGGCTGCAAGGGTCTTGACTAATGTGTGTATTTTCAAGGTGCAAAGCATAAAAGCAGCTTTTGAGAATGACACTGAACATTGCAGACAGCTTCAAGACCACAAATCAACTCCCAAGTACTGGGTTCAATTGAAACAATATTCCTGTAAAATCACAACATTTCACGGCTTAAATTACCTAAGGGTTGTAAAAAGCCACTCTGGCCACACTAGACAGGGACTTCATGGCAGACTAACTTCTGTGTAAGTATAGTACAGTCACTCCTTTTTTACTAGATTCATTTTCCTTCCTGAGTCTATACCCACTAATTCTGTTGATTTTGTAATGCACACAAAATCAACAGTTACCTTAAATACTTCATAGCACGTTAAAATTATATGATTCTCTCGATACTTATTGTACTTTGGCTTCCAACAGCCCCCCAGACATCACATGACCATGACTGCTGATACAGCTGCTCGTATGCCTCAGGGCGTCTGCTCCCAGGTAGGCTGTTAGAAGTTCTGTGCGGCGAATGAGTAACCGCATGAGGTCTTCAGCTAAAGTCTCTAGACTTGAATAACGCACCTTCTCGAAGTCAAAAATGTCTTTGAGAAAGAAAAGAACCTGATTCTGGAAAATGAATACACAGCAAATTGGCATTTGTTAGACCCAAATTCTATTAAATCGAAAACATTATTAATATTGCAACAAGCACTGAATCAGGAGTCAGAAGACCTGATTCCCAGGGCCAGCACAAGCCTCATTGGGAGAGGGACTGTGAATAAGGGATCTCACATATTGGGGCTCTCTCATTTTCTTTTTCTGTGAAATAAAGAGATAATGCCAACCATCCTATTTACTATTCAGGCCTGATGTGATGGTGAATAATGGGCTGCTCTGACAGGTGCCTGTAAGCGCCAAGGCACTGCATGGATATAAGGAACTGTTTATTAGTATTTCCCTTCAAAGTTACTACTGAACACTGGGTCCACTTTAAGGAAGATGAATAGATGATTTCTAAAAATTGTAAATTATAATTTTTAAAGGTACACTTTTCTGTATAAAAAAACTTTAAAGCACATGAAAAATAAAAATAATTTCAGGTCTCAAAGCAGTGGGAGATCCTGAAGGATATTTCATTTCAGTAAGTTAATACTACGATGAAACTCATTTTAAGCAAGTTGTATACCACTAAGCATTAAGTCTCAGCTATTATATCATCAGAATGGAAAAAAAAGTTAATTCCAAAAAGTAAAAATAAGGAATATCTCATTTCTACCTTACAGAAACCAAATGGTAACAAGTACTAGACACATTTAATTGATTCACTAGATGTTATATCTGGAAGGATCAATTAGCAATGAACCTGCCAAGTCCCTTCACTGTACAGATGAAGAAATGAAAGACCAAAGAATGATTGGCCCTGGCAGAGCATGGTGGCTCACGCCTGTAATCCTAACACCCTGGGAGGCTGAGCTCAGGAGATCCAAGGAGTTCAAGATCAGCCTGAGCAAGAGGGAAACCCCATCTCTACCAAAAAACAAACAAAAAAATAGCTGGGCATATTGGTGCGTGCCTATAGTCCCAGCTACTCAGGAGGCTGAGGCAAGAGGATTCCTCAAGCCCAAGATTTTCAGGTTGCTGTGAGCTATGATGCTATGGCACTCTACCCAGGGCGACAGAGTCAGAGTGTCTCAAAAAAAAAAAAAAAATTGGCCCCAAGTAAGAATATTAACTAATGACAGCCTTAATTCCCAGCCTCAATTTTTTTTCTACTAAAACACATACTTTACATTTGGGTGGTCAAGTAAACTAGTCAAAAATCAATGATTTCTGAATAACAGTAAAACTAACATTTCCCAAATCGCTTGTACAAATACTACA